TTAGAAATACATTCACCATCATTCACGGTGCTGCTTGAATTGGTTGAACATATTGGTTTATTATAAGATGCCGACATATATTTACCAATGGACGCCTCTTAATATCGGATCATCCATCAGAGCAAATTGACAACTCTTTTCTATTCCATGAATCTTTAACAGGCTGCAATTTTCTATTGGTAGCTTTTTCGTGAGCCAAAAGAATTGTTCTTAACCTATTATAGGTTCGCGGAACATAACCAAGTATAGGATTATTTGCCAAAGTCTGAATACCTTCCAATGCATGGAGACTTTGCAAAGTTAAACCTGATGCATAGAACATACAACCTGCCAATTCGTCGACAGTGTTTCTATTAGAAATGCTGAAAGACTGTTCTAGAGCTCCAACCTTTGAACCTTTTTTTTTTGTTATGATAAATCTAAGCCTTACGGAAAAGATAGATAATTTAATTTTTTATCTCGCATCAAGTTGTACAAATGATTTTTTCTTTTCAGCTTCTTCATATTCTTGCTTCAAAGCTTCACATACTTATCTCTTTGCATATTTTAACACCTTGACCAGGGATTTTTAGAATATGATCCCGTAACTTTTTTGTTACAATAGTTACAGGACCATACTCTATTTTCACCACCATTTGGAGTAATTGAAAGAACTTTCATATGGTTCCATAGTGGTTTATCATCAAAGTCGGAGCCTACACTTTTTGTTGGCCTTAACAAAACTTTCCCCTTTTGATTTGCCATTGAGGAGGTAGAAGACGACATTTTTGAGAGGTAATGAAAATTGTAAAGGAGATGAAGATGCAGGAAAATGGCAGTAGTATATTCGAAGGGAAAAAGTTTGGTAAGGAAAAGACTTATGGAAGGAAAATCAAGTATCCTTATGGCTATAATGTTGATTGTGTACCTTTTGAGAAAATCAACGATTGGGATGAAGCTTCATGTCTGAAGCATTTAATGTTGAAATAAGTTACCAATTAATTTTAATTTATAATAGATACTTTAGAAGTCTACCATGCTAATTTTTATAACTACTAAATGATAGACCATTGTAGAATCATGTTAAAGTCTTTCAGTGGCTCCCACTGATAGTGGAAATAGAGTATGGTCGTGTAACTTTTGCAATAAAAAGAGTTGTTGGATTATATTCTAAGGTTAAAGCATATTTGGCAAGAATTTTAGGTAATGGGGTTGAAATATGTAAATAGATCAACCGAGATGTATGTGAATCATTGAAGTTTAAAAATGTTGAAAGATTGTTCTAGAGCCCCAACCTTTGAACCCTTTTTTTTTGTTATGATAAATCCAAGCCTAACGGAAAATATGGATAATCTAATTTTTTATCTTGCATCAAGTTGTTCTGATGATTTTTTTCAACTTCAATGATTCACATGCTGAGGGTCTATTGGAAACAGCTTCCCTATCCTCACAAGGTAAGGGTAAGGTCTGCATACACACTACCCTCCCCAGACCCCACGGTGTAGGATAATATTGGGTATGTTGTTGATGAATGATTCACATAAATCTCGGTTGATCTCTTTACATATTTCAATCCCATGACCTAAAATTCTTGCCAAATACGCTTTAACCTTAGAATATAATCCAGCAACTCTTTTATTGCAAAAGTTACAGGACCATACTCTATTTCCACTATCATTGGGAGCCACTGAAAGACTTTAACATGATTCCACAGTGGTCTATCATTTAGTAGTTATAAAAATTAGCATGGTAAACTTCTAAAGTATCTATTATAAATCAAAATAAATTGGTAACTTATTTCAGCATTAAATGCTTCTAACACGAAGCTTCATCCCAACCGTTGGATTCTCTCAAAAGGTACACATTATTATAGCCATAAGGCTACTTGATTTCCCTTTCAAAAGTCTTTTCCTTACCAAACTTGCTCCCTCCAAATACACTGCTACCATTTTCCTGCATCTTCATCTTCTTCTTATCAAAGTGTAGGCTCCGACTTTGATGATAAACCACTATAGAACTATATCAAAAGTTCTTTTAGTTACTCCAAATGGTGATGGAAATATAGTATGGTCCTGTAACTATTGTAACAGAAAAGTTACGGGATCATAATCTAAAGTTAAAGCTTATTTGATAAAAATTCCTGGTCAAGGTGTTCAAATATGCAAAGAGATAAGTAGAGAAGTATGTGAAGCTTTGAAGCAAGAACATGAAAAAAGCTGAAAATAAAAAATTTATTCGTATAACTTGATGCGAGGAAAAAATAGATTACATCTCTTCCTAAAGGTCAGATTTATCGCATTTTAAAAAAAGAAGAGGTTCAAATGTTGGATCTAGAGAAGTCGTTCAACATTGAGAATAGAAACATCGCCGACAAAATGGCATCCTGCATGTTCTACGCTTCAGGTTTATTTTTTAACTTAGCAAAGTCTCCTTATTTTAGAAATATTCAGAGTTGTTGGCAAAGACTCCTATACCTGGTTATGCTTCGCCAACGTATAATAGGTTAAGAACTACTCTTTTAGCTCAAGAAAATTGCAACCTATTAAGGATGCTTGGAAGAGAAAAGGGTTGTCTATTTGTTCTGATGGATGGTCGGATATTAAGAGACGACCATTGATAAACATGATGTCGGCTTCTAGTGGCGGTCCAATATTCTTAAAATCAATCAACTCAAGTGGCGTTGTGAAGGGCGGCGAATATATAGCTAATTTGTTCATTAAATCACTTAAAGAGGTTGGTGCAAGTAATGGTGTTCAGTTTATCACCGATAATGCAAGTAATATGAAGCTTGTCGGTTCTACGGTTGAGCAAACTTTTCCACATATATTTTGGACACCATGTGTTGTTCATTGTTTGAACCTTGCACTAAAAATTATATGACAACCTTCCGAAAAATCAACTCAATTTTTAAATTGCAAATGGATATTAGATTTGATTAGTGAAGTTAGTAGCTTGAAAAATTTTGTGTTGAATCATGATATGGTTCATGCTCTTTTTCAAGAAGCATTCGGCATTGTCCTTGTTGAAAGTTGCCGAAACGAGATTTGCATCTCATGTTGTCATGACTAGTCGTGTTCATCAAGTGAAAGCATCATTGGAAAGAATGATGATGGATAATGATTGGAGAAATTATCAGGGAGATAAAGTGATTGAAGCTAAAACGCGTGACAGAAAATCCCTTGTAATGAATGACGGATAGTGGGAAATATTGAGTACATTTTAAAGTTTACGGAACCAATTATGTATATGCTTAGAAGTGTCGATCTTGATGCTCCAAAGCTGCATCTTGTTTATGATATGTGGGATACAATGATCGAAAAGGTGAAGGCAATTATCTTTGAGCAAGAGGAGAAGGATCTTATTATTGGGCAATCGGACTTTTTTGATACAATTCAAGAAATTCTTGTTGCTAGGTAGAATAAGAGTAACACCGATTTACATTGTATGGCACATTCATTGGTACCAAAATACTACCACGAATCATGGCTTAAGGGGAAGGCAATGGGGTTCGATGGCTTGCACCCAATGAGTATAGAGAGATTTCCTTAAATAGGGTTAAATGCTTCCAAAGATACTTTAAAGATTCAAATGATCTAAAACAAGCGTCTTTGGAGTATAGAGCATTCGCAGGTGGGAATGATTTTTTAGTGAGTCTCATGTGGTTGAGGCTATAATGTATGAGGAGCCTCAATCTTGGTGGGATAACCACGCTGTAAACGATCCATTTTTGCAAAGCTTGGCTTACAGATTGCTCTTACAACCGGCTTCTTCTTCTTGTTGCGAAAGGAATTGGAGCACCTATTCGTTGATCCATAGCATCAAAAGCAACAAGCTAGAAACTTCAAGAGCCAAAGATCTAGTTTTTGCCATTACAATCTTCGCTTGCTTTCTCGTCAAAACGAAACATACAAGTGGCCCAAGTAATTATTGGGATGTAGGTATGCTATAATCTATATTTTCTTGATTTTATATTTCCTTTAGTATTCCTTTTATATTTTTAATCATTTTTAGTTTAATTTTGCTTTAGGTGGAGATCGTTCTAATGTTGATGAAGCCATGGTGATCTAGTGAACTTATCAATAAATAAACCTCAACTAGAAGGAGTCATCTTTGAAGAAAAGGTTGAAAATGTGCAAGAAATTGATATTGAAAATATTGAGGAAGAATGCTACATGTTATTGTTCAAATGCTAAAACTTACGTAATAGTTAATACTCTCCAACTTTTTATTAGTTTATATAGTTCAATGTTAATGTAACTTTGTATGGGGAATAGAGATTGCAATTATAGTTTATTTTTGCTTTTTTGGTGCTCATGCTCATTTGATTGACTTAATGAGAATGGCTAACTTTTTATAATTTGTGACTTGTAAGAGGGATGCTAAATGATAATTACGTCTTTTATTCTCTATGCTTATGTCAAGTTCTTCAACAAAACCAATAAAAGCATAAAAGGTATGTTTTCTTTATCTTTATATATCTAACTCTTTTACTTATGTAGTTATGTGATATCTATTATATGTTAATATACTTTGTGTAATTTGTAGGAGAATTCGAGAATGGAAGAAAATCAAGAAATCATGCCTGCAACTTGAAAATAAAAAAGAAACCCACACTTTAAAAATTAAAGATAAGTATTTCACAAAATTTCTCATAATTTAGAGATATTTTTATATTTTTATTTTTTTTAATTATTTTTTGCCAGATCCCTACACTCGTGTCCGTTCTATGATCCGTATCCCCGAATATTAAAATTTACATCTCAAAGGATCCAACCTCCAGATCCGCACATGTATCGGACATCCACACCCCTGTATCATAGATGCAAATTCTATATGTATCACTTAAACTAGCTCTAAAACTAGTTGTGGAGCTTCAGTACAAGACCTCAGAATCTTTTGCCTTTAGTACATGATATCCTTATTGAAACATGTCAGTGCTTAAAACCAAACGAACATATAACTCCAAGTAACACAGGGGATCAGAGCATAAAGAAGATGGGAACGGGAATGCCACTACTTACTGTGCACATTCAGCTAGTTTCCCAAGATTTTGATTGTCCAATATGGCCAAAATCAGTGTCTTGTTCTCATCCAGATACTGCATCACATAACAAAACCCATTTTACCACATGAATCCTGACACCTGAAAATATAAAGAAATACCTGAGGTGGCCACAAAACCACTCAGCCAAGTAAGTAGTTGTTCTTTCAAAATAATCATGTCAGAAACATAACTGTGAACCATTCACGGTTCACCCATGATTCTGATACGACTAAGAATTACTGACTCCATAAATAGAGATTTGTAATGAGAAGTATAGACTCATTCTCCTAGTTAAGATTATTGGTGAAACTGTCAAAAAATTCTTACATTAAATGTTCCGCCTTAATTATTTTCGCTTGTGTTACCCCGTCAAACATGATTATGCTGTCCATTTCAAAAAGTAATTCTTGCACAAAGAATCCAGTTGGAACATAAGTCTACTCCTAACTGCTAGAGAAATGACAACTCTTCAGAAACCAAGATCATAACCACCTTCTTAGAAATTTCACAAGGTTTACTGAAGTTCAAAGCTTCATGCACATACAAATAAACTAACTCTGTAATTAATACATATAGAAGAGTCAACATATTAATTGATTTAAAGAAGCTTTACTTAATAGGATTCCCTAAATCGCCAAAACGTTTCAAAATATTTAAGGACTCCACTAAGCATTCAAGTAATCCCCACAATTATTACAGCAGTTATGAACTTATGACACCCACTTTAAAAATATTTATAGTGACAAAACAATGTAAAGAAGAACAAAATGGGCGTATACCATAAAGCATTCTCTTTTAGAAGATATCAGAAAGTACCATTTTTAGAACCTTCCAGATAAGGAGGTCAGCAATGTGGGCATTATCGATTGTTCCCCACCACACCACTCAAACAGATAAGAGTTGTTAAGAACCACGGTTTCATTCTTCAGCGTATATTGTTACTTAACTTTCTTAGAGTTCACATTTATAACAAACTTCAACATCCTAACCCATCTTTAGCCATTATCATCTTTCCTTTTTCCCAGCTCACTGTCATTAAACGTGTGATTGTAATTGCTCTTACTAAAACTTATCTAATCTTTTTATAATCGTGGTGTCCGGACCAACTTGCTCGCACCTCGACTAATTCCACGGGATACCTGCTACCTCCCACCAGCAACAGGTATCAGTTAACTCTGTCTACCAAGCTCGAACATATAGGAAGAAATCACCTAGTATTTTGCTGGGGTTTGAACCTGAAACCCACATGGTTCTCAACCCACTTTATTGACCATTGGGCCACACCCTTAGTTGCTCCATCAATAAATCTAATCATAAGCTACTTGTAATAGTATAATTGAGGATCCTTATTTTTTATACTTCAAGCTCATAGCACAAGCTATCTCCTAACTGACAAGACACAATTAGGACATCTGTGCGAAATAGTCAATATCGTGATAAAATATGGGTATTATCAACATGCATCTAGCATGGATACAAGTACAATTTAGGGCATTTTGCATAGCTGAGTTCACAATTTTTCCACAAGCCCAAAAGTTATGCCAAATATAACTTTGAAATAAACAGGAAAATTTTCTACACAGGAACTTTTTGTTTCAAAATTCACTCAACAAAGACAACCCTTAGCTATTAGAGGGATCATACACAGTTGAGATTTAGTGTTACTACTATCTTTACCCTTCTATTTTTTATTTTTTCTCTTGGGAGGGAAGAGATGGTGGGGAGCCATTGTCATTGATCTAAGGATTACATTTTCATGATTTTGTGATCCTAATTCCTTCGTATGACATAGTATTTCAATGAACTAACGAGATAAAAACAAATACACCACTGATTCATAGTTTCATACCCAAGAAAAGAAATTCAGATGGATAGCCAAGATCAGCTATCATACTATGATCAAATAACTACGAAAGCATTTGAAGTATCTGTCATATAATCCAAATGATTTAACATAGTTCCCGTGCTATGGATGCACAACCCTTTTGTCCCCAATGTCTCATAGTTATGAAGAGGGCTACTTACGAACTTCGAAAATCTTTGATTCGAAGAGTTGGAACAGCCTAAATTTCTTCCTATCGGCCGGGAAGAATCGGATAAGATATTTTATCTAAAGCCCATCAGATTAAAATAAGCTTCTAGACCAAGTTAAAATAATCCGTCACCTGAATAAAAAATAAAATATCACACAAAGAAACTAATTCAAGATTATTAGGCCATTACCCCAATTTAATCAAATTTGACATAAATATATAAAATTCTCATCTCAAGTACTATGTTTTACAAAAGGGAAGCATTCACTACAACTTCCATAATTTCAGGATAGTTTTTCTCCATAGAAGTAAGGAATATTTCCAAATCTCCCCCCACCTCCACCCACCCCACCCTTTTTTTGTGAAGGATAAAACAATAAATTACATACTTTATTACCAACCCTTTGACGTAGAGATAACTAACACCTCAATCTCAAACAAGTTGGGATCGGCTCCATGCATCCTAACTGGCCACGATACTCTATCTCATGTCAATAATATGCAAATACAAATAAAAGGTTGTATATTTTCTAACCATATAAATCTGTAAAAGATTAAACCACTACTAGAAAGCATAGGACATACAGTAAACTTTTGAAGTACAATTAAACAAAATAGTACTAATCCTTATATCCCTTTAAAGGACAAAACAACAAGTTCCACAATATTAGTAGTACTTGATAATATATTTATTTAGTGTATATCTTTTGTATTTATCTTAAGATAGATCAGTCCTATTCTTGTGCTTGTTTGTATTATAAATATTCTACTGTAATTGTACTTTGTACTTATCAAGCATAACATTGTTTCATGGTATCAGGAGCTTAGGTCTCTTTCTTCTCGATGGCTTCTTCTTCTTCCTCAATTTCCACAACTTCATCTCCAATCAAAACAACTTCATCTCCAATCAAACTTGATCAATCTTCTCTGTCTCCCTCGTCCAACACTGCTATTTCTTTGTCTAACATCAAAAACTTAATTCCTACTGTACTAGACTACACTAATTACATGTTATGGCGGGAACTCTTTTTGCCGGTTTTCAAGGGTCATGGTGTTTATGGCTTCATTGATGGAAGTTTTCCTTGTCCACCCTCTACCATTATTACAGAAGATGGTAACTCCATTCTCAATCCTGCTTTCCAACAATGGGTTCAACTTGATTCCATTGTCTTGTCCTGGATTCAAGCAACCATTTCTCAAGAAATCCTTCAAGCTATTCTTCGTCCCAATCATTCTCTAACTTCTAGAGAAGCTTGGCTTGAAATTGAGCGTCTATTCCGTGACCAAGTTAGTTCTCGAACTCTTCAACTCAAAGGTTTAATTTCATAACCTTAAGAAAGGTGATACAATTGCAAATTCTCTGAACTCCGTTGGTAATCCGATTTCAGAAACGGATCTTGTTCTTCAAAATTTGTCTGGCCTTCCTTCTTATTACATGCCAGTTAGTACTTCCATTTCTACTAGAATCCCACTCTCATCTTTTACAGAGATGCGTTCTCTGCTCTTTTTGCATGAGGCTCAATTGTCTAATTTCTCTGCCACTAATTCTGACTTATCTGCTACTGCTTTTGTTGCGAAGCAACATTCTATTCCTCATGGTCGTGGTCGTGGTAGGAACAACAATGGGGGTCGGAACTCAAATGGTGGTCGTGGTAGGGGTCGTAACAATCCTGGGTTTTATAAGAATTTTTCTACCCCTTCTCCAAATCTCTCTCCTCGCCCTCGATCTCCATCCATTCTCGGGCCTGCTCCTTATTCTTCTTTTCCCTCTTCCCACATGCATGCTACTGTCCAATGTCAACTTTGTTTTCAATATAATCATTCAGCTCGTGAATGTCCATCTTTTGGTCCTAAAGCATTTATCTCTGATCTTCAATCATCTCCAACTCATTCTTATGCCATGCCTAGCGATGCACACTGGTATGATGATACTGGGGCCTCCTCTCACATGACCCCAAATCCTGGTAATGTATCCTCGGTTCTCCCTTACAATGGTACTGATCGAGTTGTTGTAGGCAATGGTACTCAACTACCCATTTCATACACTGGTCATGGTACTATATTTACTCCTTCTACCATTTTTTCTCTTAAAAATATTCTTATTGTTTCTAATCTCTCAAGTAATTTGCCGAGTGTTCGTAAATTTACTACTGATAATAATTGCACCATTGAATTTGATCTTTTTGGTTTCTTTATTAAGGATCTCAAGACCAAGAAAATTCTTCTACGGTGCAATAGTCAAGGCCCTCTTTATTCATTGTCCTCCTTGTCTTATGGTGCGGTTCATCGAGCTTTTGCAGCAGTGCGACGTTCTCCAAATCTTTGGCATCAACGATTAGGCCATCCAAGCTTTGCCATTCTTGCTAAATTAGTTAGAGAAAATAAAGTTTCTTGTAGTTCTTTCAAACAATTAGATTTCTTATGTAATGCTTGCCAGCTTGGCAAGCACAATAAATTACCTTTTGTGGAATCTCAATCATTCACGACTTCCCCATTTGAATTGATACATGGTGATATATGGACATCTCCCGTAGCATCTTTTACAGGCTTCCGTTATTATATTCTCTTTCTTGATGATTATTCAAAAAATTTATGGGTGTTTCCTTTAAAACGTAAATCAGAAGCTTTTTTAAAATTTAAATCATTTTATTCTTATGTCTCAACTCAATTTTCCACAAAAATAAAAGCATTCCAATGTGATGGCGATGCTGAATATGTTAAACTTTCTTTGTTTTTCTTGACGAAAATGGAATATCATTGCGTATCTCATGTCCATATACGCATCAGCAAAATGGCAAGGTTGAACGGATGCATCGCACTATTGCAAATATGATTCGTACCCTTCTATTTCAGGCCTCTCTTCCTCCTAAATTTTGGGTTGAAGCTCTTCAAACTGATGTTCATCTCTTAAATACACTTCCCTCTTCTAAACTCCATTTGAAGTTCTTTGTGGCAAGTCTGCTACCTATGACCATTTACGTGTATTTGGATGCTCATGTTATCCGAATCTTAGTGATTACTCTTGTAACAAGTTAATTCCTCGTTCTAAACATTGTATTTTTCTTGGTTATCCGTTAAATTATAAAGGATTTTGGTGTCTTGATCCATTAAGAAATAAAGTTTACATTTCTCGACATGTTCGATTTGACGAGGAATCCTTTCCGTATCTTACTATTTTACAACCAACTTCTTCTTCTTGTGTTTCAAATATTTTATTCAAATCTCCAACAGAGTTTACCTTCCAACGTCTGCTACCTACTGTATCTTATTCGATCTCTTCACCCCCTAGGACTCTCCCTTTATCTTATACGCAAAATACTCTAACTTCTAATCAAATTCCTAGTTTAACTCCAACTAATCTTCTTGACAATATTTCTCCTACTTCTAATCAGATTCCTAATGTATCTCCTACTAATTTTCTTAAGAATATTTTTCCACCTTCTAAACAGATTCCTAATTTATCTCCAACTAATTTGCGTAAGAATATTTCTCAAGTTTCACCGCCACTGGATTCTAGGACTTCTCCTACTTATTCACAATTTTATCCACCTTTCAATGTTGATTCCTCATCAGCTTTGACTTCTTCATATTTGTCTCCAATTAGATATAATTCATTCTTACGTACTATTCCTTATGAATTTCAAAATATACAGTCTACTACTTCTCCTATACACAGTAGACTTGTAAGTCCTTATCCCTCTAATGTTCGAACTACATCTTCTCCTCTCTTACCTTCTTCTACTTGTGCAACCACTAATACACATGCTGGTCCTTATCCCTTTTCAAACGTTGATGTTCCATATCATTCTATTTCCCCCACCATACGTTCCCCTCCATTATCTCCTCCGATATTACGTCACTCTCCTCACATAATTCCTACTTTTCCAAAAATTCATCATATGGTTACTCGTTCTCAATCAGGAAACCTTAAGCCTCGGGTTCTTCCTTCTCTCTTATCCCAGGAAACATCTAAGGAAGACATCCCATCCATTCTTCCCGAGCCTACTTCATTCAAGGAAGCTAATAAGAATCCTAACTGGAGAAAAGCCATGGCTGAAGAATATAATGCCCTCATGACCAACAATACGTGGCAGTTAGTGTTGCCTCATCCAAATGCTAATGTTATTGGTTGTCGTTGGGTATTCAGAGTAAAACAACGTTCAGATGGTTTAATTGAACGGTTTAGAGCTCGCTTGGCAGCGCAAGGGTACAATCAACAACATGGGCTAGATTATGATCAAACATTTAGTCCTGTGGTGAAACCAGTCACTATTCGTACTGTTCTTGCTTTAGCTACCTCTAAAGGGTGGCTAATTCATCAACTGGATGTTAAGAATGCCTTCTTACATGGCACTCTTAATGAACTGGTATACATGAAACAGCACATTGGTTTTGTTCACCCAAACTTCCCTAATCATGTTTGTCAGTTGAACAAAGCCCTTTATGGCTTAAAACAAGTTCCTAGGGCATGGTTCCATCGTTTTACCACATTCTTGCTCCAAATTGGTTTTAGAAATAGTATGTCTGACTGTTCTCTTTTTGTTTATAAGTCTAAAAAGGACATTGCTATTTTGCTTCTATATGTCGATGACATTCTTCTTACTGCTTCATCTACTTCTTTACTTCATTCTCTAATCCACACTCTTAAGTCTGAATTTGCTATGAATGACTTAGGGCTTATTAATTATTTTCTTGGTGTTTCGATCACGGCTCGTGATGGTGGTTATTTTCTGTGTCAATCCAAATATATTCAAGATCTTCTTAGTCGTGCAAATCTTTTGTTCTCAAAACCTGTCTCTACACCTCTTTCTTCAAAAGCATCACTACATACATCTGACTCTCCTCCTTTTTCTAATCCCACTCTTTATAGGAGTCTTGTTGGAGGACTTCAATATCTTACTTTCACTCGTCCAGATATTGCATTTGCAGTCAATCAAGTGTCTCAGTTTATGCACTTTCCTTTAGAAGTTCACTACACAGCTGTGAAACGCATATTGCGTTATTTGAATGGCTCGCTATCTCATGGATTGTTCATTCATGATGGTTCTATTGATCATCTATCATATTACAGTGATGCATACTGGGCTGGTTGTCCTTCCACCCGCCGTTCTACCTTGGCATACTGTCTATTTCTTGGAACAAATCTTATTTCATGGTCTTCTAAGAAGCAAAGTGTTGTATCTCGCTCAAGTGTTGAGGCTGAATATCGCTCTATTGCACATGCCGCTGCTGAAATTACTTGGATTCATTCTCTCCTTAAAGATCTTCACATTTCACTTGCATCACCTGCTACTATCTATTGTGATAATGTTAGTAGCATTTACTTATCTTATAATCCAGTTCAACATGCTTGCACGAAGCACATCGAAATTGATATTCATTTTGTTCGTGAGAAGGTTGCTTCGGGTAACTTGCAAGTTCAATACGTTAATACTGCTGATCAACTTGCTGATTTGTTAACCAAGCCTCTCCCATCTCCAAGGTTGATGCTTCTACGTGACAAGCTCTGCGTCCTTTCTACCCACGCATCACTTGAGGGGGTGATAATATATTTATTTAGTGTATATCTTTTGTATTTATCTTAAGATAGATCAGTCCTATTCTTGTGCTTGTTTGTATTATAAATATCCTACTGTAATTGTACTTTGTACTTATCAAGCATAACATTGTTTCAGTACTATACTATTTATCACACATCAACCTACAGCTATGAATTGTTTCTTCAACATTAATTGTCATCCATCTGTTGTGTCTTACCCTACTTATGCTTCAAGTACCTCAGAACATAGTGAAGCCAATAAAGTAAAACTTACCAATAGGAAATTAGTAAGAAAATAATACCTTTTGAATCTGCTCAGTGGTGATATTGTTAGGAGGAAAAGAGGGCATGACTGGAATCATAGGCGGTGGCTGTTGCATCCTCGTATACTGCTAAACCCTGCTCTTAATTAAGGTTCTCTAAAATGAATTGAACAATTAGCAGAGATTATAGCTTTTTTTGAAAGGAAAAAGAAGACCTGAATTTTCAATATTCTCAATTTATTCAAACTGCACTGAAGAAGGTATTTTGAAACAAAAGGGGCGATTTTGAGAGTGGGGGTTAGGTGGAAGAGTGGGAAGTAAGAGAAGAATTGTGTCGGAGTCCGGTTGGACCGGTTGGATTGTTCTCGAAAGTTGGAAACTTTAAGGTATCCTATTGAACTCCATGTCGGAAAATGTGAAGAATTTTTTAGTGGATTTTCTTTTTTAAATTTAATTCTTATTCTTATTTTTTCCTTTAAATTTAAACCAAACATTATTAGAGAAAGATTCTTCTTAATTTTAATAATATAATTCTGTACGTGCAAATCTAATTCATTCAAGTTTATTTAGTAAAAATCAAACACATATTTTATGTTATATCTCTCATATATTAGATTTTATCTAATAACTAAATATTTATCAATATATATATATATATATATATATATGTATATGTATATATAAAAAATAATTTGTCATTGTTTAATTTCATATTATAATCTCAATATAACTTATTCCTAGAAAATTTCTATGTATATTGATTAAGATAATCAATCCATACGAAAGGTTTATCATTGCATTAGAAGAAATGAAAACCAAATATAAGATAAAATAATATTTATATTCTTGCTTGAAAAAGATAACATTTAAAATTTATTAACTTATGTCGAAATGCTTTTATTGATCCTTACACTTGATTAAGGAGAACAACGCCTATGGAAATTTATAATTTCCTACATGGCGTGAATTATTTCCTTTCATCATCTAGCATTTGTGGTTAAATAAATTGGAACCATAACGCATTCCAAAGCAAAGAGAATGGTCCTTCATTTGTGCTCATTTTCAATAGATCTTCTTGAGTTTTAATCAACGTAAACAATCAAAATTTGCCAAAATTATCTTGCTTAGTCTGTCGCTGATTGGGCACTTGTTTTTTGTACATCATGTTGTAAATATTAGTATTCATGGTACTAGCATGGATAGTTTTTGGTTTTTGGCAAATTGTAAAGGCCCAACCATCTTAGCAGTGTTAGAATTTCATTTTGGAATCTAACAATTTTGTTTACCCTCAGCGAGGAAAAACAATTGAATTTGTAAGTAATTTTAAGGACACGCGATTAATTCAATACAAACGATAAATTATGTTAGATTAAATAAATAAAGATAGAGTAAATTCAAACCATGTGAGGAGGATGAATCCAACCTCAATAAAATATTCACCCTCGATCCGGCTCACAAGGACCAACGCTGATGAACAAGAATAAGAGCTTTCAAGAAAATAATAATATTGTTTTGGTATGCGTGTGTTGCCATGTCCCCAATGAATAATCAGACTTCTCTTCATATAGTAGGGGGTTTTATCCTAAGTACAATTCTATAAAAGGTAAAAAAAATCTTCTATTTAACTAATCACCGATTTTCTATCGATACGTACCGAGATCCACTCCGTGATATCCGTGATTCGGCCGGTCACGGATATTACGGCCTTCTGTTAATCGTGTTCGATTGCCCGATAATATTCTCTGAATTCTTTTGGGATTTGGACCGATCTGGGGTCATGGCCCCAATATTCTCGAGGGCAAGCATCGTAACCCGGGAACCTGTCTCGATGACTTCAAGGTTGAAAACCTTGTTCGGTTCAAGGCCGATGCGAGGCAGTGTCATGGTACATCTGCTTTATTACCGAGGTCGTTCTTCTTGTAGTTCGAAAGGACTGCGGCTAGATGGATAAGGATGTGGTGATTCCCGGGCCCGGTGACAATATCACTACACACGTTGAGGGATATTTGAGTGTTTACACTTATCCCTTTACATTAGGTCCGGTGGACCCGATCATCTTGGACTTCTGAAGGAGGTACAACGTATGTCTCGGCCAAATCCACCCATCACTGTGAAGGATCGTGATCCTCCTCCGATTCTTTGTGAACAAAATCGATTCGTGCACGTTCACCATTGATCATCTACTCCGCTTATATAGTCCCCAAATCTTCCGGGGGAGACTGATAAAGCTTGTACGCCAGGCCAGCAAAGCCCCATTTTCAAGCATCGACGAGGATCGGGATCGGGGTTGGCAAGGATGCTTTGTTCGGGTGAGGACCGCCGACCTGATACCTGCCGAGTGGAGGCCGTTCCCCGAGAAGTGGAACGTATCACGCAATTGTAACTTCCTTTTAAAAGTTGATTTTGTGTTTTGTCATCCTTTTTCTTAGCGGTATTTGTTGTGGTGCAGCCCTTGCTCGAGTCCCAAACGCCATTCCTCGGCTCAATGAATGGATCGGGGCATTTGTTCGCAAATGCCTTATGCCGAGCGCTCGTGGCGCAAGCTCTCGAAGGGCCTCTAGGAGGCCCGATCTCATGGTAAGATTTCTTTCTCCGAATAAGTAGCACTAGACTTCCTTTTTTCAATACTATGTCTTCATTACTTCTTTTCTCTTTTTTGCACGCTTGCCTAAGACCATCGAGCTTAGGCCCTTGGTAGGGGGCGAGGACTTACCCGCTGATCTTCCTGGTTCGAGGCAGCCCGAAGCCATAGCTGGAGAGAAGAAAAGTAGGAGGGCCCCGAGTTCCCCGAGCTCGGAGAAAAAGAAACCATGGAGAATGTTAGCTCGTAAGCCAAAGGAAAGCTCCAGCTCTGGAGTGCCTGACTCGGACTTACTTCACCGGCTCAGGGACGAGCCTGAAGAAGACGGACTTTTTATGGTCTGTGAGCCACCTGTCCCTGAGGAGCAGGTGGTAGCCGAGGGGGAAACAACGGAGGCTAGTCTCCCTCAAGCGCTCGAGGCCAATGCAGGGGCAATGGCCCAGATTTCTCGAGACGTCGGCTCCGCTCCGTCCAGTGTTACAGAAATTTCAGGATCGCCCTCGTTCACAAAGTCCACGTTTGATGAATCCCGAGCAATGAAGGAGCGATCCAACAAAGGGTTTCATGGAGCGGATGATCCCCTTCGATGCTTCTTTGATAATGTGGATTCAATCACCCTGGAAGACGTCACCGGGTTGGGTGACTTAGAGGTGCCGAGGAAAAGTTCATCCTCGGAGGTTGGTGGGCCCAACTTGAGCTCGAGGTTGATTAACCGGCTCCCCTCCCCAAGCACGGATCCTGCTTGGAAGTAATCAGTTGTTATCACCATTCCGGAGGATGCCCGGGTTCTTTCCACCCCTGTTGGGATAGCTAGTTATCTCCGATTCCTGGTAACCAAAGAAGACAAGGCAAAAATGAACGAGGTGGGTATTCCATGCTTGTTCAAAAAAGCATAACAGGCACTGAACCGGGTAAGGTGTTATCACACTCTTTTATCATCGGATTCAGTTTTTGAGGACTCTAATGCCTTTTCCTCTCCTCATTTTACAGGCCTCGATGCTTCACCATGAAACCTTTCTACGATACTGGTATGAGCTTAGCCAACTCGAGGCCAAGTAAAAGAGCTTGCTGAGAAGAGAGACATGTATAATCTTCTCAGCGAGCAACGCGAAAGAGAAGTCAAGAACCTTCGAGCCGAGTTGGATGCGGCTTAGAATGAACATGCCAACCTGGTAGAACAGGTAAAGATTTTTAAAACTAGTGACGACGAGCTAGCCATGGAGACTAATGGTCAAAACCCGCAGGTCTAACAGAAGCTTGATCGGATTAACCAACTTCGAGCCAAGATGGACGTGGTCAAGGCCAAGGCCGAAGAGTGGAAGGGCAAAATAGACCGATTGGCTTCGGATAAGGAGACTGCCTGGGAGCAGCTGGCCTCGGTGGAGGTCCAACTTCGAGCGACAAGGGAGAAAACTGAGGCATGATCCCACAAAATTGAATACCTCTAATGCCAACTGGGCTCGGCCATTGCCGAACGGTACACCCTTGCCAAAGAACTTAAAACAGTCAAGTCAGTGGCAGAAATAACCAGGGCCAATGCTTAAGAGATGGTGGCCTAGTACAAAGCTAACGATTAGGTAGCCCAGGATCGCTTGAAAGTCATTGGTAAATACATGAAGTGTCAGTCTTGAAGGGAGTCTCTCGAGGAAGTTCATGCCTGGGGTTTCGACCTATCGTCCGAGATTGAAAACGCTAAGAGATTCGAGGCCGAGGCCAAGCAGTTTGCATATCCCGAGGACGAGGAAGGCTCTGAGGCTTCTGGTGGATTCGAGGGCGGAGAAGACCTCGATGGTCTCGGTGATGAGGTGAGCTCCGATGAAGACCAGGCTTAGGTGTCTTGGAGCGTTCTCATTTTGTTTTTGTATTTATGTTTATTTTGTTGAGGTCGTTTGGCCTTTGTAAAGATCTTTACTGGAATGTACATACAAGGCTTTTCTTTTTTCCCTTTGGCAATTTTCAAGTTTGTTGCTTTTGGCTTTGCAAAGATTTCAAATACCTTAGCACGTAGCAATAAGGTCTCGTTCGGAGGTTCGAGCGAGGCTCGTTTTCAATGTAATTTTACTTAAAATTCATGGGGGCTTGGTATGACTGGAAGATTTCCCCAAAGTGCTTACTTAGAAGTTTTTACATTATAATTTTGTTGAGGGTAGCCTTTGAACCGGTTTGGAATTTTTGAAGGCCTTATGTTTTGGTTACCGATTTTGGACGTCTCCAAACTATTTTTAGGATGGCTGTAGCCTTTTAAGTTCGGGTATTGTCCAATAGGCTTATTACCCCGGGCTTCGATACCCGAGCCATTCGGGCTTGCCCAGAACGACAATCCCCGAGTAGGGGTGATCGTAGTCTTTAAAGTTCGAATACTGCCTAATAGGTTTTTGTGCCTAGGGGCTTCAGTAGCCCGAGTCGTTTGAGTTTGCCTTGGATGACAGTCCCCGAGCCGGGGTGATCTCTTGGATCCGAATAGAGGTAGCCCTTGGGCTCGATATCCCCAAGGAACAAAATGTAGTAGTTTTTAGGAGACAAAATATGTATCTTCAAGGTAGAAACTTTCTTTCATTTCTATGCACACATATAC